CAGAAATTATCCACCATTGGGTAAGTTATTTCGATTAGATTACGATGCAAATTATCGTTTGTGACGGCGGGCGTCGCCCTGTGTTTTAGGTACCTCTAGTAATTAATATCGAGTGGGCTCAGTGCGATACACGACAGTCGAATGTTTTGTCGTCTCTTGACCCTTGAGCCCTCGAAGGTGACTTGTGCGTTCGAAAAACAATTTACTGCAGAATATTGCTCCATTTCTTTTTTGAAACATATTCTGGAACCGTTATTTAAATTTGTGCGCGAAAAATACGATTTGCGGCAGTGGAACTATCAGATTTATATTTTTAAAAAGCTCTTTCGGTTGCGTTAATCATTTTTAGTGTTATTCTATTTTTTATATTGTTAATAATTTTAAACGCAAGTGTTCAGTAATATTTCAATAGTGTGGCAAAAAAAATGCGAAGTGGATATAAAAAATATGAAAGTTCCTTTTTTGAAAACAACATATATTTTTTTAAACTCAACGAAAAAGTAAGCAATCAGGTGCTTCTAAAAAGAAACCACTCGCTATATTACACAATATTCGATTAAAATAAGTAAGAAATTGGAAATCGTTTAAGTAAGATAATAATTACTTTCGCCGTCGGGTCATCTCGCGTACCTACCTATAGCTTAATTATTTTAGGTTAATTGCTATTTTACGCATTAGTATAGATATGGTTACCTATATAATTAAATCGTTGATAATCCTTGTTAAACTACTAATTATATGTATTACCAAATCTGTCACGAAAAATTTTTTTTATCTATACTTCGAGCTTTGCCGCATTGTGATTGTGACTTTGTGACAAAACTGGACCATTTTCTTAGAAAATTAATTTACAATACTTTTTAGATAAAATGAAACTAGATAAGTGATTAAAGCGTACCTAATTAATGATTCAGTCATTATGTTTTCTTTATTATCTATATTTTCTTTAAATGAATAATATTTAAAAGTTAATAATTATTTAAACGAAAAAAAAAATGGTTAACGCGTAATATAGACTAAAAATATTGCAATGTTGACTAGTAAGTACTAATATCGTGACATTAAAAATAAAATATTGAAATGGAGTACTATTCTGCAATTTATTCACAAAACGTTAGTACCTAGCAAGGAAGCCGTATGAATATGACGAAACCACATCACAAAATTTTATTTCCAGGAAAAAATACATCCAGTTAAAACCGACTTTGTAGGTTCTCATCCAAATCATTTCCAACAATCACGCTATACAGCCATGTTTGTCCCGACCACGTCATAAAAACACAGATAGTCATTATCATTCAATTAATCTTAAAAGATTAGAAACGATTGTAAATAATATATATAAAAAAATGTGTCATGATTCATAATGCAAAAAACTATTTCACCAATTAGTGATACAATTAGTTAATTATACTTATATTAAAAAAAATGCACTGTGATCTGTAATTACTAATAAATGAGCCATCCATCTCATAATTATCCTATAAACGAATTTACATTAACTTCTCGCTAGAAAGCATGACTCATAAAATGGGGAATGACGTTGAAAAGCACTTAGATTCACAAAACAAAAACCTATCAATCTAATATCATAGAAATGACAAAACAAAGCTCCTTATCTTGTTGTGAAACACGGATTCAAGTGCATCTCGACTGTGATAAGTAATTGCTAGATAAATTCTCAATCTGATCTTCTATTAAGACATTATTGTTCCATTATCTTGAACGTTTTCTATCTCACTCGAGCACTGATAGCCGTGATGTGTTCTTTTGTAAATTATGTAAGAATAGCGCACATTTATCGATTTAGTGTTGCGGAATAACTTTTGCAATTTCACTGTAGACTAGATTAGTTAATGCTTTTTGATAACGGCCTAGAAATTCTATGTACTTAATAGTTTTAAGAAACTAATGAATCTAATAATGATCTCGTTTCCAATTCCTATAATTTTAGAATAGATTTAAAAGATTTGTCGAAAATTCCCGATTAGAGATTTTGGGGGTTTCCTAATAAGTAGGTACAAATGTTTCCGATATACAATGTTATCTAATTAGATTCTCATTAACGAATAAGAATGGATTCTGCTTCTAAACTGACTAATTAGAACATTGAGTTCCTATACCATCATTATTATTATCAACCACAAGAAGTTTTTTTTTTGAGGGAAGTAGGTCATTATTCTAATAGTCTTTTCTCGCCCTGGTTGGGGCGGGAGTGTCAGACTGTTACTGAATAAAAACCACCCCGTTTCTTCTCTTGCTCTAGGCCGGGGCCGCTGTATAGCATTTCGCTTAACCCGCAACCCCGGAACCATAACGTTTTCTGCTTATCATGAGTTTTACAATGACTAACAGATTGGTCCATTCGAGTAAATAATCACCCAAGTATAGATAAGCTCGTAACTTCTTATACAAAAGACAAAAAAAAAACGCAACGCAAGTCTATACTTAAAAGTCGCACTCGTGCGCAAAGCGTTGCAACAATCGCTATCGAACAAGTGTTTTATCATCATCATCTTCTACAGTAATTGGCAGATTGCGACAACCAGCCTCTTGCCTTCAAGATGTTATAACATTGTCACGGACCAACTGATAGCTCGTTTGTTACAAACATTTCAACTAAACCCTTATCTGGTAATTGCCGTGTGTTTCAATACGATTGTGACAGGAGGTGTATTTTTTATCTGTATCAGTTTTTAGTTAGAGATAGATGCACCGTTAGCAGTCTTATCTGAACTTCTAAGTATTCTAAAGCCCTAAATACTTGACACCTTTTTAAAAAGCTTCTTCACTTTAACATTTAATAATAATTGCAGTTAACAAACACATAATAGTTACAGTAAAATTGTTCTTAAAACCAATGTCTCAATAACAAAAGAGTTCGCAATATGGTAGTTAGATGCGCCTTGTTATTTCACGCAGAATCTCTGGTGTTCATCTCTTAATACGTGTTATTATTTCGTATTATTCACTTACCTACCGAGTACCTAATAGTAAATTAAAGGACCGAAAGGTATAGTATATCCAATAAGAATATTAAAACAGCTGGCAGGAGAGAATGTAAGCTCAAAAACTTATTAGAAAAACAATTTGTCGTTCAGGAAACTTCGAAAGAGGTTTCATAATGCTTTAATACGTGATACATATCACCTTCCCTTACCTAGTACACAATATACTTGACAAACTATACGTAATTATTAGTTAACAATAGTTAGAGATTAGAAGTAGTCATCGGATCACGTCTACCAACTGATAATGAAGAAATCCTTGTGACTCGTGATAACAGAATCAATAGGTACCTACCTACTTGTATAATTTTATTACGATTCGTAATGGTAAAAACCATGAAAAATATTAAAAAGAACTTTTATTTCTGTCAACGATCAAAAAAGTAATAAATATGTCGAACGTTTATATGTATATCGTGTCGCTTGAAATTCGTGATTTAATTTAATATTAAAGAACATTTGCGCACAATTTTTTGAGAATCACCCTTTAAAAGTAAAACATCTAGCAACATAAACATAATGCTCAGTTCAAGTGTTTAAAAAAAGACTAGATTTAAAAACTATCATAAAGTTTTTAAACTGGATAAAAGGTCGACGCTAATTGGAAATCAAACTAAAACAGCTGGCCAAACGTATTTACTGTAAAAAAACAAATGCAAAGTTCTTGTTAAAAAAAAAAGACAAAATATTATTACTTATTAAGAGCTAATTTTAGCGTGGTATTTTTAAGCCGGACCTCGTTACCGTTGCATAGAAACTAAAGAAAAAAAAGACAATGTCACAGATTGTTTAACTCAAACAGACCCTTCTATTGTCCTAATAAAAGAGATGCCCACAGATAATGATGAAAAAAGAAATATGAAAATGACAAATCCATTGATGAGTAAAACAGGGAATTAGTTCGAATAGATAGTTATGTACTTAGTACGAACACACGAGCCCATGTTCAAAGTACGCCGACTAAGATAAGTAACATAGGTACTTAGGTATATTATATTGTGTTACGTTTCCAAGTAAACTGTAATCCTAATCATCAAAAGCGCCGATGAGAATCATTTTCAGTGCATTTAGCGTTATTTGAAGAAAGCTGACAACTTCCAAGATGGAAGCCATTTCCCGCGGCGATCGTTGCAAATTCTAAGATATTGTGTCGAAGGAACAAAAGCCCTTTTATTACTTTTTCGATTTTAGTAATCAGCATATTTATTCTACTGTTGGTTATACCATATGATTTGCTAAAAAAATTTAAAAACATCTTTACATTTCTTTAAAATTATGATCTGATTTCAGATCCTTTTTGCGATTTGGCGCGAACGATTTCCCAAAATGGCGGGCATAGACCAGAGTTTAGTTTGCTACAGATTATAAATAGATACTTACTGGCTGTAAACCTTATGCATACTGCCTAATTACTTTTTAAAGTTTTTAAAATATAACACAAATACATTTTCACATGACTAAATCAGGTAAATAACTAAACCATACCCACATAATCTCAATCAAGTTTTCCTAATAGGTACTGGATATAGCATAACGCTACCAGTACATTAAGTAACCAACAGAAGCAAGGAGGTAATACATAACAAGTCGCATACCACTCGTGGGTTACCAGTTCGTATTGTCTGGCCTATAATAGGTCAGACGCGCGTGCGCAGAAATGGTGAACGTAGTAGGGCAACACTGCTGCACAGATAAATAATAGGACACGTTATGTGTTAGTGAAAGAAATTGTAACCGAAACGAATTGGTTTGAACTGGTTTAATGTTGCTTTATTACTTATATCTCGATTTTTTGAGAATGAAGTATTAAACATATGGATCATATTTATTTTGGTTGATTACTTTAAAGATTAGGTTATAATACCTGAGCAAGATTATTATTGACTGCAATGTTTATAAAATTCTTACTGCATAAAGGTTCAACGTCTACTATTAAGTTCACATTCAATTGTTAAGTACGAAACTAAAAATAACTTAATTTACTACAATCGCCGTAACATAAGTGGCGTGCCATTCGATTGGGTTATTAGCATACATTGTCTGGTTTATAATAAACGGCGAGACGCGCATGCGTACTGAACCACCCAAATGACAGTACAGTGACCACGAATCCAATAAAAATGAGACTGTTATATCTAACCGATGCGGCATTTAGTACACTGATTTAAATTATTATTATTCCGATAAAAAGTCATGTGTATTCATTATCTTCTTATACTGATTAATAATATAAATATCGAGTTTTTTATTGAATACCGTATCTATTGTTATCTGTAGGGACTTTCCAGATGATTTAACCAAAATATGCTTGTGAACAATCGTGGCTTAGATCTTTTTTATCTTTTTCAGTGTAATAAATAATATGGATCATTATTTTATAAGAGATATCGGAGCATGAATGTTGTGTGGCGTTTCTTAATGTGAAGTGGTGATGATAAATAGATTAAAACATATTTTATCGTGGAAATATTTGTGGTGTTAATGATGATTATGGATCGAAGGAATTTCAATTCATTTTATGGGTAAGGGTAACCTGATATTTTTGAATTCCTCATTATAAATACAGCGCTTAAGTCGCACTTTCAAGAACTTTTTAGAGAGAACTCGATTGGAAGTTTGTGAAACATAAAAATTCGCTGAAACAGTATACGATTGCAAATATTTATATCCAGTCAGCATAACTTGAATGTAATGTTATTTGATAATTTGCGTAAAATATATGATCAATATCGACGATTGTCATGGCATTGAATTACCCTTTTTGACCTGAGTGGGGTAATAGGCCATTTTTCTTTATCTTCTTTCCGCCTAAGTGAGACGAGAGGGAGTATCAGTTTCTTACTGACTAAAAACCAACGCGTTCCTTCTCCTGCTCCAGGCCAAGGTATATTACGACCCACATAGCCCTGCAGCAAAAATAAAATAAACCACAACTACAGTAATATAACACTAAAATATTAAACAAAACAGTATCGAGGATGTCTTTAACATCACCGTAAAAGGTGTGTCCCTAATACCGAGCAGATATGTACACGTAGATTAGGTACCCTCATTCCTCGTCGATCGATGATTAGCGTCAAGTGCCACAGGAAGCCATTGATAGCAAATGACTCAATACTCTTTGTCATTTCGTCACGAACTTGTTTTAAAAGCCATTTATTTTACTCACAAAGACGATATTTTGGTGCGCTTTTAAAATTACACAGATCATTGTCCTTCTCTCGGCATTATTATAATTTGAATACATATTTGCAATTGTAGCAAAATTTATCCATGCAGCCGGTGATGCAAAGAATGTAGTTACCGTGACTCGGAACAGTAATAGAAATGGGTTAGTTTTTAGTCAGTAAGTTTTGCACTACCTCTCATTCGACCTAGACGAGATTTAGAAAGTTATTAGATAATTAACCCACTTTAAAAAAAATATAGCTAAATGTACAGGTAGGTACATGGGTATCGAAGGATTTGGAGACTGGTCTTACATGGTCATAAGTATCAATATTGAAAGGAACACAAGTAAAGATTGATACGTGTACTTTAGTAGATAAAAATTATCTCTATTTTGTAGGAAACAAAGATCATTGTTGTATTTTTAGGTACGACTGACAACGTTATACTAAGAAAATGTAGCGATTAAACACATTTCCTGACAAGTTGACTTAATGCAATTTTTAAATTCAATACCTACGCTTACTGATAAAATTGTTGAGATTGCATTTCGTTTGCACTTTCTCGGAAGTAAAATTACGACTTTGACTTTATCATTTTCAAGGACAAAATCCAAATGGCGTTATAATATGGTCACCGTACTAGAAAAGAAAGAAATCTAAAAGTTTTGTTATAAGTACTAAAAATTTGGTATCTTATCCGAAATTGTTTGCGTGCTTTCATAATGTAAAGTAGGTATTCAGGCAATTATTTTAAAGTATATTTTTCGTTATCACAGGCGTAGGCGTGGTCGACCGTCGCGGGCCATGCAGGGTGCTGCCAGCGCGCCCGCGCCCCCCGCGGCTGAGCCGCCATCTTCCCAACGTAAGTATCTACAATTATCTACATGTTTTTCAATCATTCCGCATAATCGTTCACCGATAAACATTTATGAAGTCAGCATACCTCACAAAAATTTAATCGAGTCATAAAATTGGTGATAAATATTATGATTTTAAGACCACCTAATGTATCTCATCGCATCTCCGGCGCAACAAGATGCTTAGGTATGAACTCAACGACAGCAACTTGACGACTGATGGCGCGCACGCGCGGTACCCGACACCCGAGCATTTATACGACTACCCTCATATTTTATTACAACGTTTTAGAACAGCTGATAATGTTTACGACTTGGCATCCGGTATTCAGCGACATATCGCCTGGATTCTTCATTAAAGTTATGCAAAATAGCCAAGCCAAGACAATTTTACTGTCTATTTTATTGATACTTCAAATAGAAATAATTAAACTTGGTATATTTCTTATCTGTGGCGCGCCATCACTGGTGTATCTATTGTCATTTCGAATAATATAGGAGGAATATAACTACAAGAATATTGCGCGCAATTTTACATTTCAAAATGTCCATTACACTCGTTCAGACCAATATACCACTAACTAACGACGCATCAATCAAATTAAAAAGATTTGTTCTTTACATTCCTAACTCGACTCAAAGAAACTTCTGTTTAAACCAAGTTTCAACAAAAGCAAGGCAAAGTTTCGTAAATCAAATAGGTTAGTATAGATACGAATGAGACAAAACACATCTCATTAGTCAGACACTTCATTAAGACACGGAATTTCGTTTGCTCAGCCGCAACAACAATCTCTGAAGATCCTAACATCCTTTTGTTGGTGACACACTTGAGTCAACAAAGACACATCTTAAGGCCATTCATGTTAGTTACCTTTAATAGGTCCAAGCTTCCCCGATCTGTCATCTTTCTATGATTTTCAATTCTATTACTAAAGATATAAAGTTTATAATGTATTTAAGAAAGTTAGTGTAGCTTGTTCTGCAGGCGTCTGGGTGTGGTACGGCAATCTCTGATATGGATGAACCATGGACAATTTTGAGTGAAACAAGGTTTATATCCAATGATTTTTTGTTGTCAGAGGGACACTGGCCATTATTTAATTTTAATAAGCATATGTTTTTTACCATAATTAATATTGTTCTATTTTTAAATACCTACATGATTTAATAAGTTCGATCTGAATGAAAAAAGGCCGCTGAACTTTATCTTTTGAGTACTTAATAGTGGTTTTATTTTAAAGTTAAACAGCTATTAATATTACCTTCGACGCCTTCAAGTATTTACTTACTAAATCAAACATGCTTTTCCAAATTAGCGAAAATCAAGGTTCAGATAAAGAAAGTAGAACAGTTAAAACTCTTTTAAGTAAGATAAATATTGAAACTAAACTGACTCAGAAACAAATCATTTCGTTGAAATTTTAGAAAAACGTCATAGTCAGGAGATTAGATTTACTAATCTCCTTCCTTTTTCCGTTTAAATCGAGCCAATCATATTTAAAGGAAATTCTAAATCGATACATGACATACATTTCCAATTAATCGATTCTAGTCATACACGTGCCGCATCCTTAGCCATTAGAGATACAATTAAAATGTTTTCCATTCGATTTTTAAACTTTTAAAAACGTTCCTTCCAGCTACTGTTATCTGTCAAATGCAAATGACGTTTATCAATTCTAAAATGTCTCATTAAACAATTTAGGTGGTCTCGATGTCCTATGACCGATTAGGATGTCTGCCGAAGGTGTACCTTCAACGGTTCTTTATCTGATAACCCATTTACGTCGTCTTCCGGCCCTAATTGCTGTTTGTAAATACAAAACTGCAAATAATGACAAACCCATTGAGGCACGGTACAATTTTTTGTGTACATTTCGGCCTCTCTTATAAGATTAAAACCTCATTCGTTATGACAATAATAAAATAAACCACAGATAATCTTCAACTAACAAACGCAATCTGGCTGGTAGCCAATTAAATTTCAAATAAGGAACTGATAAAGTCACTGGCTGGCTGGATAAATTAACAGAGTATACAGCCCCAATTCTTAAGAATAATAATAAGGCATTGTTATAAAACACAGGTATAAATTGGATCATTCTGGAAGATTCGTAACATTTTTTTTTTATTTATAACTTGAATCGGAACTCAATCTTAAAACAGCTGAACAAATTAATAAATCTTTCGTTAATCAGAAGCTTGTCATGATTTTAAACGCAACTTAAGAAGAAATACGTCTTTGGAACATCTGTAACACAAGTCCTAATTAAATCAATAAGTTTACACGTGTATGTATGTAAAATCTATTGTACTTAATTGAAATAAATTCGCTACTTTATGATCGTATATACGTCGCGTCGCAACAATAAATCGACGATAACACGTCCTTACCTCAATTAATATGTTAATTATTTGTTAGTAGTATCTTTTTTATCCCGGAGACTATTAACATGACGGTATAAATTATTATTCTTTACTTCTTCACTAAATATTTCCGTTTTCAAAACGCGATTAAAACTTATCTACAAACAGACGCCATCTGTATCCATCAATCAACTTGCTACCTAAACTAACTCAGTGTCAAAGCACTGAGCTCAAGAAATATGTGGCGTTACTTGAAACTCAGAGCACGAACGCCGGGTCGACGGTCCTGCCATCTCTCGGGCCCTAAACGAATTAACATTCAATTATTCACATCTCTACTGTCCACCTCCCCCCCTCTACCCCTCGACTTGCGTATGCGCCTAATTGGGACGCTTTTCCGTTCAGAGAAAGCGACCGATCGAGTGGAAACCATTTTTGGGCGTGCGATTGATCGATTTCGGATCGAGATTTCGTTTTGTTCGGTGACGTCAGTTTGGTACATAGAATGGGATCTTTGTTGGCTGAAGTGCTCTCGAGATAAGTGCTTAGTAATAGAGGAATAGTTCTAAGTATGACTGTAACTATACACTGCATAAAGGAAAGGTTTACAACGTAAATACTGCACAAGAAAACCCCCACTATAATGCAACAAATAATATTGATAAATACTCCGAAAAATACACGTAGTTCTAGAACATGATTGAATAACGTCCCACAGTAATCTCACTGAGTAAAATTCCACTGATTAGGTACCTACTTAAACAAAAACAGAAGCGCAACGATATTTGTTAGGTAGGTACTACGATAATTGGATCAGCCTCTAATCTTTAGCGGCGAAAATACGTCTTCACGTAGCTAAGCATTGAAACAAGATACGCGTATTACGAGACCCATTCTGCTAACATAGACATAATTCGTTCATAAAACTACAAATTACGCCGAATAACACTATTTTCATTGAAAAACACACGTTTGCTTAAATTCTAGATATTAATAAACATATTAATAATGAATACGATACCTCGCCTCGATCTAATAACGTGCTTAAGTAATTAAATCGCGATTTCTTCTTCTATAAAAACAAAGCCAATTCTTTATGGTGCAATATGTTTCCGTATTTAAAAATCTAATAACATTTTTTATTAGGTACGCTAATGCCAAAATACTCCTTGCAAGCTCATTAGGATATGATAAACACAAATTAAAAAAAAAGAAACGTCACCTGTCAAATTTTCTACTTATTTCGTATGTTCTACCGATTATTGGAACAATTTGAACTTGGTTTGAAAGTCTAACCGTCCCAGTAACCAAGAGAACAGCGTCCTATAAAGTATTGAAGGCAGACATGAGTGTGGCATCATAACTGCACCGTTACTGCGGAAGGCACGGTCCTGACTTGCATTAATCAGGACGCCATCTTAAAACCATAAACAGTACGGCCACAGAGTGATGATGAGGTGCAAGTTTTGTTTTGTTGATTTAATACTCTATGGTAGGTACCTCCTTAGTGACAGATATCAAAACTTTTTTGTAAGATAATAGATTTAATAACTACGAATTCGTACGACCGAGTCGACCGACGCCATATTTCCAATAACAAATTGGTTTGACAAATAGAAAGTATCTCAACGAAAATGACCGTACCAATTGCATAAAGCCATAATTAAGTTTCCCCCAGAGATCCGAAACGGGCACAAACTGCTACTAGCAAACGTACGAAATGAACGTCCGCGCACCACATTATCAATTTCTAGACAATAGCAGTCTCAGTTGTCACAGACAAACTTAACTTTACCGCTAGGAAAGTGTAACTAGACGACAATACCGTGCAAAATACTCTAATTTAACAGCAAAACAACAGTTGCGAAAGCATACCTGTATGGTCAGGTAATTGCCGATGGCGACACCATAAATGATGGCTTGGAGATACTACATGGTGTAATTCAGTACCGTTGAGGCTCATTGGAGTGTTGAAGAAAGCAGCGGTACTGTGCGACGTCCCCGACATATCAATCAAACAGCTTATAATATGCGCCGCCCACCGTTAGAAAGACAACCATCTTATTATGCAGACAATAAGAGTTATTGTCGTGCAACTTCGGCTGACTTCGGGACACTTCGGGATGGCGATAGGTCGATTTAAATTCCGAATAAGCGGGAAGGAGGAAGTCACGGTGTGCCAGCCGCTTCTATGTCACACCTTTTCTCCGTATATGAAGTTATTGAACTCGAGTGTACGTGGAATTCGGATGATGTTTATTCCGTGATTGTACTATTTTGATGGCCCTTACACGTGTTGGTACATGTTGAATATTAATTTAAAGTACACATCGGTGATCCGATTCTTTTTCGAGCCTTTTATTCGATTTACCTACGCTGTAAGAAAACCAACTTCGTAGTTCGATCTGAAGTTCATCACACACTTGCAATATATAAACTTTTTTACCGTACCTTCCTTTACGAACCTCTTTTAACATTATTGATAGTCCAATTCTCAAGGAAAGTTCTAGAATGCATAACGCTTTACAATACATACATAAGAACGATGAATTACGGAAAACCAGTTCGTCTATGAAATCTCGTTTTACAGCTGAATATGAAATTATGTAACCTTTATTTACAGCTCGATTTATAAATGAACTGGCTTCATATATTAGGTATTAAAAGTATTCACTTAGGTACAATAAAATCACTCTCTTAGTTCGATGAACGCGTGCTAAGTACCTATACTCACAAAAATACGTACGTTTTGCGCATTTCAGTAATTTTCCAAGAATAATACTTAGGTATATTATAATAAGTACGTTTTCGATTTCGACATAATAATATTAGCGATTAAAAATTTACTTTTGTTTTCCGTGTAAGTATATGTTGCGTAAAGTTTGGACGACTGTCACACCGTTTCGAATTACTAACTAATTAATTTTTGTTTTAAAATATTATTTTAACCTTTCAGTCGGGATATTTAGACACACAAAATTAAGATGATAGGTGCGTAAACGCTTGGGGTTTGATTAATTAATATAAATACAGATTTTCAACCTGCTTTCTTAATGGGGATGCAAAACGATAACAGCGACATCGCAATTGTATTTTTGTAATACTATTCGTTAAAGTATAACATTTAAATCGAAAATCGAAAACAAACAAACTGGTTCAAACAGAACTACTTAATTAAAAAGCAAACAGCCGAACACTTTACAAAATCAACATCTTTTGACAAAATTACATCAAAAACTTCACCATTCAAATTACAGTACGGTGTGATCGTCAGCAACAGTGCGCTCACGCATCAAGTTACAAACAAGATTGCGTGAAAAGATTATTGCTAAGAAAACCTGACACGATACATTTACATCGTCCCGAGCAAAAGCTTACTTGTCAACTGTACGTAACTCAAGTTTTTAAGTTATGAAAAAACCGATGACATGCATATTATGTATACCTATGTAAGATCATACGTTGATTATAGATTGACATCTTATTTCATAATTTGCACTCATAGAAACTCTTTCGAATTTTCATCGTAATAGAAGACAGAACATGTGATATCGGAACTTAAATTACTTTGAAAATCTGTTTTTCGTTTTCTACGTTTCATAATTTCATGTAAAAGAATTATTTTCCTCAATTTATGAATTAATATTTCTTTAGAAATGGAACGATGACCATACAAAAGAAAAATGGTTGTGTACCTAATACCAACTTTTTTCTAAAAGCGAAAACGATCGCTTGCTACAAAGAAAGACCAAAAAAAATATGGCTTCTCAAAATTTCGAATCTTAAACCGTCAGATCATGTTGATAAGGACTAAAACGCCCACTACCATCCGACGGGTTGGGTAGTCTGTCTCCCCGGGGGGGTTAATCTCAGGGGCGTTGCCAGAGGGTCGAAATAGGGGTGCGAATCTCCCTCCCTCCCCGAAACTCCGGGAAATATGCAAACGAATATCACCTTTAAATAGAGAGGAAAATGTTTGAAGATATATAAGCAAAATATTACGCGTGGTTTGAAATGAAATGTAACTACAGAAAGCCTGTTATACCTATCTACATAATAGGCGAGTCAGCCAAAAAGTGCTAGTCAAAAGTATTGTATATATTTATCTTAGTCAAGTCCTATAAATTGAAAATGAGCTTATTCTCATAAAAGACACAATTCCAGTATCCGTCATTTCAAAACAAAAGACAAATACCTATATTTCTTTTATTTAGCGAAAAATATCTTCTTACATCATTTAAATGTAATTCGAGTCTCAACGGATGTGTTTATCTAAATACGATTGATATGTACTTACGACTTGTGACTTAATTTTGTTGAATTCGCGTAAAACTTACAATGGTGTCGTGTTTATGCACCTATTTTACAAATTATGTGTAAGTAAATAATATTGTGTTATTTCCGTTAATGAAGCGACAAGGCATAATTATGGATTATTAGTATTTTTTTTTTATTGTGTGCATAGATACTCTGCTGGCGTGTTCTGTTTTTAAAAAAGGATTTTCATGTTATGGAATAGCTTTTTTTTCTTGTGTCTCGATTATTTTTGCTTATATATCAAATTGTCAGACTTTTGGGACACTCACGGGAGGAGGGAAAGGTAGCATATGAATTTTGCCCTACTTCAACCACATGGTAACCGTTATTAGATATAAAATCATTGAGGCAAATTATCATAAACGATCATTATGCATTCTATTCTATATTTGAATTCAAACTTCCTTAAAATTAGAACATGGTACGGTAAACGTCACAAAATTATGTAACAGTAACGTTTTGATACCATAATTGGTAATATAATAATTTACATTGATTAATCTCGTATGTCATGTATGTATGTAGGTTAGTGACGGGGGAATGAGTCAGTCAGCCAGTCAGATACATTGTCCTGCTAGGAAATTACTTCAAACTGATAGTTCTCCTGGCGTCAAGTAGACACGGACCGCGTTCCTGTTTTGAAATATAAAAAACATGATCTGTGGTTCACTTTTGACATTTCTTTTAAAGTGTTGCCATAAGGTATTATTACAATTACAACCTCTCAAAACAATAGATTTCTCCATACTACGCAGTCTTATCAACACAATTGACTGGACTTTGTGTTACAGATAATAAAGCGATGATTCAGTTTTTCCTCCTAATCTTATAAAGCGCGATATTCTTTGTGACTAACATATCCCAAAAATCTTAAACGATGATAAAATAATAGACTAAGTCCAAAGCTATAAAAAATAGTACCCTTACTTACTAGACATAGAAATAAGAAAACAAAGAAGGTTTTAAACATATTCGATTTCGATCCGTCATCTATATCATCTCTCTAAATCGTAGATCATAAAAAAGGTTATACACCTAAATTTAAAAGCGCATAGGTACGATCTAATATCTGTATAATCTGTGATTTCCAGGCCAATAGTATGAAATTATTCTCAACACGTTCATTAAATATGCTACTATTTCACTAAAGCTTTTGATAGCCTTACTTAATCTACGTATCTTGTTTGGCCATCTGAGAATGAATGAAACAAAAGACAGGTGGGTATTTTAGATTCATAAAAATAAAAACTAGCTAAAAAATAGTTTTTCTTTGTGTATTTTTTTAGAGAAAGAGTATTAAGAAGCATAGCATAGCATGGTGTGCCACAAGGCATTGTTTCGGGACCACCGAAAATTCTATCAAAACTATTATTTAGGAACAGATAATGAATGCTTATATAGATAAAATTTTAAATATCTCTATTACTCAGTAGAAAAATAAACAACATATACGTAGTTACTAGCATAACCTTTTATCTCCGGATGATGAATAAATGATGATGATCTGGATTAGGCCTGCATCTTCTCAGTAACTTGGCATACCATGGGTATCTATTAAAATTGAGCGAGAAGCTTATGGAATTACCCACCAAATATATGTATTTATTCATGGCACGTCCCTAAAGTATCTCACAATCGCTACTTTTCACAAAACAACGATCTGATAGCGTTTACGTGACTCAGTCGCTTGCCAACCATACACATAGCTCTAGCTATAGCCCACTAGGTGTCAGTCTTATTGATTTTTGTGCCCTATAGCCTCAGCGAGGCTCGCTATATTCGTATCCACGGAAAATATGCTTTGTTCTCTAAGCGTTACGACACATTTTTCTATACACGTAAAGATCGTTTTAAAACAAAAGATAGTGTGAATCATCCGTAGAGAACTTTGTTGTGGTTTGAGAATTTTAGGGATAGAGCGTGTTATTCAATTTTGATACGTACGTAGTTGGTGTTAAAGATGATCGTAAAAACTAACAAAAGCTTTAGGTGTATGTTTCGATCTTCAGCGATGACTAATTGTTTTACGAAATAAAAACTATTTATGAATCAATTATAACGAAAGCTTTTCCTGGAGCATTGTTTTTGTTGCAGCCAACGCCATCTGTTATCGAATAGCAACAAACAAATAATATAATGATAGAAATCTATTAGCAAATTGTAACTAGCATCGTTTCCAATACTGATAATATCAGATTATTATTATTCTAATATCGCGACCTCGCATAAGTGAATTGCCTGACTCATCTATTGTCTACTTGACTTTTCTTGGAATTGTAAGAAAGCGCCCCGCGTTATTCAAACATACAATCCGTAATCAATTGTAACATGTGTATTCTTTTGTTACAGATATAAAAACAGAAGTAATAAGCGAAGCAAAAATCGAGGCCGATGAAGAAATGGACGGAGTTCAAATTGAAAAGAAAGAGCTACGCGTCACTAGGACGACAAGCATAGACAGCGACAACCGATCAGACCGGAGCGAAGAAGATGACTCAAGGAGAGCGCGGAAACGAGCTGCCTCCATATCACCATCGCCCAAACCTCTGGACAAAAGAACAGCAAGGTTTGAGTGCCTAAAATGCCGGCAAAGGTTTGACTCGGCAAACGCTTACGACATCCACCGGTTCACTGCCCACAGCGACGACACCAAAACTGGATTTGATGACTTAACTTTCGTAGATTTCTCCAGCAAAAAATTTCCAGAAATTGCCCGAGGAGTGTGTGAGCGTAACCCACACGTATCAGTGACAGAGCAACGTTATAGATGCGACATGTGCTGTCGTGACTTTCCGTGTGGACAAGCTTTGGACATTCACAAGAAGACTTGTCTCTCTACCACTCGTATTCCCAGCCCACGCGAAGAGCGAGACCGCAGGGAAGATTTCTTTGCTAAGTTAGATCTTACAAATAGATCGTTTGGGATCACGGGTACATTGACTCCACCGATGGAACGATTTGCTTCCAAATTCGACGAAAACCACGTCGCCAACGGAATGAGACATATGGATGCCGCCTGCGACTTCGCTGATATAAAGTCAATTTTAAATGTCACATCAGCTGGCGGACTTTTAGAGAGACTCACTGGCACAAGAGTAGCTTTAGAAAGCTCAATTTTAACCCCACCTGACACTATAATCAAGGAAAGAGAGCAAGAAGAGAGTCAAGACAATTTCGCTGCTGAGTTCAGAAGGATGAAACTACGTGGAGAATTCCCTTGCCGGTTATGTCCTGCTAAGTTCCCTAACCTACGTGCCTTGAAAGGCCACAACAGAGTACATTTGAGTGGAACGGGCCCGGGCCCTTATCAGTGTAACATGTGTCCCCACGCCTCTTTAGATAAGGCAGCGTTAGTACGTCACATGCGCACACATAATGGTGACAGACCGTACGAATGTGCTGTGTGCAACTACGCGTTTACGACGAAAGCTAATTGCGAGCGCCACTTGAGGAACAGGCATGCTAAAATCACAAGAGAAGACGTCAAACGTTCCATAATTTACCATCCATCTGAAGACCCTAATAATGACGAGGTCAACTCAAAATTAGCAAGAGATGAGGTGAAGAGATCGCTTGCTTTCCACACACCTGATATCGACAGGCGAAATGAAAGCACAGGACGCGACACTCCGCTCACCCATTTCAATCCTACCTTCATCACTGAGAGACACCCTGTTACAAACCTAACAAGCAAACCGCTACCGTTACCCTTGCCTGAGTCCCCACTGCCAATAACACGCGATGTGCCACAGTCCCAACCACGAATTAAAGTAAAGGGGATTGGACAACTCACCCAAATACCTGAATTCAGACAGCCAGACATAACCTATAAAACAAATGATATCGCACACGATTCCTACGATGAAGAAGCTCCCGTCGACTTAAGCACGAGTGACAATAACAGTTGCGATGTTCTTGATCTCAGTAAAAAGAAACGTGATGCTGACTCCGAAGAACCTAAAGCCCCACCGCGTCCATCATTCGAGCCCGACCCTGCCAGCGTCGCAGCTTCAGCTTTTGAGAAAACAAGATTCCTGTTAGCGTCACAGAGATTGTTTGAGAATTCTCTTCCCAAAATAGACCCGGCTTACTACGCATCTCAACTGTCGCAGCTATATGCTGGTGCTGTTCCAGGTATCCCTGGCTTGCCCTTGCCTCCGTCTTTTCCTATCACACCTTATCTTCTACAGCCGAGTTTTTTTCCACACCCTACTGACTCCCAAGAACTGGCCGAGATAAAACAGCATATACAGAAAGAAATCATCAGGGGTTTGAGTATGTCTGGTGGCAGGCTTGTGCCCAATGAGCAGGAAAGTCAGCCTAAATTAGAGCCCGAAGAAGAAGAACAAAAGCCTCCACCGTCCGTCTCTCCGATACCATCGCCGCACTCTGAATCTCCCCGCCCACCAATTACTAATACTCTCGTTCCCCAAACTGATTCCGTAAAAATGGTAATTAAGAATGGTGTTTTGATGCCGAAGCAAAAACAAAGGCGGTATAGAACTGAGAGACCCTTCTCATGCTCTCAGTGCTCTGCTCGTTTTACGTTGCGCTCCAACATGGAACGTCACGTTAAACAACAGCATCCACAGCATTGGAGCGTGCGGAGGCCAGCGCCGAGGGCACCTCCACCATACCCGATGCCCGACAATATCAACGAGAGAATGAAGTTCGCGCTATTAGCTCGCCATCTTGAAAGGCCCTTGCAACAATCCGAACGTTCACCCGTGCGAAGGGATTCTGATGAAGTAGCCGACAATGAAGAAGATGAAGAGGATACTCTAGTCATTGATGAGGAACCAGACCAGGAAACCAAGTCGGAAGATCATACTGCAGCACGCCGAGCAGCCGCTGAAATTCTAATGGCAACTTGCCAGCAGGAAATGGCCAAAGACTTTGATGTTAAAATCGCTGGTAACTTAATAAACAAACCTCTTCCTATCAGCAATGATAAGAACGAGTCTGGACTGAATTCAGTTTCGCCAACGCATGAGGCAATGCTTGTACCGGTGGTGCCCACACGAAGCGACGAAGAAGAAGATGAGGAAGGTTTAGTTGCTTCGACTAGCGAAGGCAATAACTCTGGAAGCGATGAAAATAAGTAAGTTAATAATTTACTAAAATAGTTATCACAGAGCAAAAAATGACTCTAATTTTATAAATGTTAATAACATATGTGAATAATTTACTAACAGCAATGTTAACTCTTTTCAGGTCAGAAACCGACACAGCGCTACCACCGAAGAAGAAGTCTGCGTACAGCCTAGCGCCGAACAGAGTATCGTGCCCCTACTGCCATCGGAAGTTTCCTTGGTCCTCATCGCTGCGACGCCACGTGCTTACACACACCGGACAAAAACCGTTTAAGTGTCCGCACTGTACCCTTCTATTCACCACCAAGTCGAACTGCGACCGCCACCTACTGAGGAAGCACGGTGGGTCCGCCAGAGCTGTGCTGGCTGAGCCAGTCCCGGACACTGTATCTACACCGGCACCAATAAATGACTCTCGAGCGGTACCAGAACGGCCATTCAAATGCGCTTCATGTCCAACAAGCACATTTTCTTCACTTGAAACCTTAAAAAAACACATGACCTCAAGACACGGTTCAGATTCTCAGCCAGGCTCCCCTACCCCTGAGATCTTGGAGGAAACGAATGATGGTGGTCTAGTCTTCAAGTGTCATCTTTGTGAAGCCTCCTTCGGTGATAGAAGTGGAGCTTTGTCACACTTGGCGTCTGGCCACGCGGCTGAGTACGAACAGCTGGTCAGCAAGGGAGCTTTGGATGCTGCCAGCGACCGAAGCGAGAGCGCTGATGATGATGAAAGAGGGAAATTTCCTGACCATGCTAATAGGAAGGTAAGACATGAACAAAATTTTACTCTTCCTACTAAGTTATTCAAATGTTTATAGAAAATACTGAATGCAAAACTGAATTGTTCTAATTATGGTTGTCTTGTTCCTCTAGGTGGTCTGTGCATTCTGTGTTCGGCGTTTCTGGTCGGCAGAAGACCTCCGTCGTCACATGAGGACGCATTCCGGAGAGAGGCCTTTCGCTTGCGACCTGTGTAGACGTCGCTTTACCCTGAAACACAGCATGCTGCGGCATCGCAAGAAACATCGGGAAGAAATAACTGATGATGAAGAGCCCTCCCCCCCTCACACTCCGCTTGAGGATGGTGTCACTAATGGGTAAGTAAAGTATCTTGACCTAAACGAAGTCTTAAGAAAATTGTTGGTGTGAACTTTGAACAGTCCTTGTAGGTTATTTAGTCCAAATAATGAACTTATTCCTTTTATTTTTACAGATACCGCTATCAAGATGATGACGGTTCGGGGAGCGAGATACCAAGTAACGTGAACAACAATAACTCACCGCCCTCTGCTCCTTACGAGAAGAAGATAAAACTTGACATGACGTCGCGCAAGTACTCGTCGGAGGCAGAAAACGACCCTGAGAACAGCGATCTTATTGGTAAACTACTTGGAATTCCCGACAAAACCATCAACAAACTTCTCTCTTCGGCCGACGAAGCTGCAAAGATACTCGGCGTGAATAAATGAGAGTACGCTATAGTTCTCGTGACGCCCGCTAGGCTCATTCTAGCGCCACGGGGACTAAAATTACCACTGCAAAACATGCAAATACAAACGTCCAAAGCAATTGATAAAGGTACAACCTCGACTAACAAGGAATAGACGTAACATAGTATGTTTGCGCAAATAAATTATTGTAAATATTTTTTTCTAGTTATAATAATCCAAAGTAAAGCTTCAACGAATGTATATTTTATAACAACGCCATCTAGCAACGAGTAGAAGCGTTAAGTGCTACCACTATGGTATTGATCACTTCAATGCAGTAGCTGTATATAATATTTTTTTTAGGTGCCTTTAGCTGCCTTAATATAAAGTATAAACCGTCCTATTACGCCTTATTGTACTTATTAAAGCTTAAATAAAAATGTGGGTAAACAACAACGAAGGTTTTAGTGCCAGTTCTTAAAGTACACTCTAATAATATAGTTGTTAGTGTATACTCATATTCTTACACGAATGGTGTAAGCCAGTTGTAAGTACGGAAGAGTCATTTTATTGTAAGTTTTCATTGTTAGTTAAAGTTGTGAGAACACTATGTTCTTAAAAAACTCTAAGTAACAATAAAAGCATTTGTTTTTTCGAAAACTTCACTTTATATTTATTGCACATAGTTAGCTGATAATCTATCGACGATCTACGAGCCGATACATTTTGCATTTCCATCTAGTCGGGGACTATTTTCCATATCCTTTCACGTACTTACTTATATAAAACACCAATTTTAGTAATAACGTTCAGCCAAAAAAAACAAACTTAAGTTTTCGCAAATTCCAAAATTAATCTAGTCAACATTTTTAAACGAAGTTTTTTTCTTATTCTAAGCTATGATACCAAAACGACGAAGTTATCATTCTCTTTACAGTTAAAATAATTATGCTAAGACTTTTAAGAATAAAATCCAATTTATTGGAAAACCAATGAATAGCTTAAGCATCTATTGTATTACAATAGCTTACTAAATAATATAAACAAAATAAGTTAGAAAATAATACATTAGATTCTGTAGATTTGTCTTAAATAACTATAAAACTTTTTTAACATTTCAGTCTGTCTTTAAAATTTATCCTTACATATTTAGATTCTATATATAGGCTAAGCTCTATTATTTCATATTATATATTCTATTTCATTCTTTAAAAGTCTCTGTATTTAATATTTTATCTCATGGGGCAAATGCCAGTTTAATTCTAATTTAGTCTTTAAATTAAATGTACAGTAGAATCTTTACAACTTCGAGAAACTTAATTGTCTTACACATATTAATTAATTTAAACAACTTTTGTTTGCTCAAATTCATGGCATTTCTTTACTGACAAAGACTAGATGTTAGGATAAAAATATTTTAAGGAAAAGGTTAGGATCTCTTAGTAGGTACTTATAATTTAATATATTTTATAATTATTATATAAATTCTGAATATATAAATTTTTAACAAACGGCTATCGGTGGTTACCGTTAACCAAACCGGGATTTAATAGGTTGGTAAATAAAAATAATAAGTTAACATTCAAAAATTTATGCGAAGTTTTTTTGTTTATAATTATTTTATTGGTAAAATATCGGTGCAGCAATATTTTATTTTTTTAATTTTCATAAAGGTTATGAACCTGTAGAATTTAATTAGAATTGTAGGATTTCAAGTCTCCTTTCTGGATCGACGAATCATACGCTAGAATATACCTAAGTTCGAATGTGCTTTGTATATTATGTAACGCTACTATATACCAAATATATTTTGAAGTAGGTTAGTTTAAATATTATAATAATTATAATGTGAATTTAATAATTATATCGCTCTTTTTAGAGTGATTCGTATATAAGTCAGATTTAAGCAATAAATTTTGTATATTATAACTATTAAGTATGTATTAGAAGTGGGTTATAAGAGAAATAGTTTCAAAAGAGAATGATTTGCACATTAGAAGCTAAAAATATGTACTTTTTGTTATAATCTTTTTAGTAAAATGACCGAATGGTGCTGTTTCTCTTAAAACCATTGTAATACCTAAATTCGTAATTATAATTCATAAATATTACATTTGAATAGTAGATGTGACTTTTCTTGAATTATAAATATATGATTGTAACTTAAAATTATACCAAAAGTAAGTTTTTTAGACTTAAAATGTAAGTATACCTATGTATTAATTTATCTGATTCCTGCTTCATGTCAATTATAGTTAGAAAAAAAGCGAATGATTTTGATATTTAAAGTTGTATTTATTTAGATTTTCTTTGTGTATAAATTTGCTTCGTCCAGTAGGTAGGTATGAGTTGCTGTTTAAAAAAATAATGTTACATAATTATAATTAGAAAATAGGTAGTAATCTCGTACTTACTAGTAAAGAAATATAAATTGTAAGTTCTAGATTTTTAAGGATAATGTGGCAACACCGCTTGGCCTTTTAAACGTAGTGTACGTGTGTTTTAAAAATATGCTCTCGTAATAATAAGTTTAAATTAAAATTTACCATTATTACGCATGGTTTTAATAATAATTATTATTATACAAGTATGATACTTATAATAAGATGTTACAATTCACCCTTTGCCTCTCTATCTTTACGCAATATGAGTGTCGTTTTAAAAACGGTTTTTGTCAAATAAATAATGGTGTATTAATAAATAAACTTTCTTTTATTTCATACTTTGGAATGATATCATTAGGACATACATATCACTTCAAAGGAATCCCTTTATTTCATCAAATGTAAGAGGACGAATGGCTACATATCAAGGTTTATTAGCTAGCTTATCATGAGCCCGCTTTGTAAAATCCTTTCTAACATTTTAGTGTCAAGTTATACTTGTTTATCTAGATTAGTGTGTATCCATGAGTTTGGTCTACATTCAACACAATACATCACACTAACACAACATTTACCATCAATTAAAAAATACTGAGCCTATTGCCTTACAGGTAACTTATTATTTTCCACAGAGCATTACGGACTGCTATGTCTGATTACGATGCTAGAATCAAATCTGTAAAGGGCACTTGCTGAAGAGAAAATGAAATGAAAATAGCTTGTTATGTGCGCTTAAAACAATTTTATCCACACATACACAATCTTCACAGAAATATCAAACAGCGCCATCTACCACAATTCTTATGTATTTTTAGTCTACTCCATACTCATGCATAGAAGTTTTGCACTAATAATTTCAGGCAGGAAGCCAGTGCGGTTTTTTCTTCTATAAAACATAAGGAGTAAGAATGTCATTAGAACACGAAAGACGAAAACGTATCTGAAATGAAAAGAATACATTTCAAATTGACTCTATGAATTATTAATTATAAGTCTTCTGAGTTGACGCTACTCCTCAAAAGATGGCACTTTTAGACCATTTCAATTGTTCATTTAAATTGATATTTTTTATTATTTTAAACGAAATATTAGAGTATTTTTACATGGAATCCAATTTACTAGTCAGTAGAATAATTATAATAAACAATAAAAATATGTCAAAGTTATGAACGCAACGTAAATTGAATGAACGCATCTTAAAATTTTAGAATGAACGATGGCCAATGAATGATTAGGAATACCATAGATGACCTTTACCCACATTGAGGGTAATTTATTAATTATTCATTATAAAATCAATATTTTTAAGGGGAAAGGGTTTCTATGGAAATTTTATTTTAAACAAATCTAAATATTTTTCACATTTCGCTTAGCATGCAGTACCAGAACTTAATGCAGGATAATAATTAAACAATATGCATTAATATGTAATTTCTTATGAAGTCGTCAACTTTTATCCATTTATTTCAGATCCAAAGTTTTTTTTTAAATATCACATCATAGAATCTCCTTAAGCAATCATAATAAAGACAAACAGAAGAAACAGTTACAGTACATATTTTTACGATAAAATAATTATTTCAATTAGATAAATAGATATCACTTATAACGAGTACTATCAATTGCAAAATACTTAACATAATTCACAAAAAGAGAAGCCAAATTCATTAACCAATTCAAAACAATATCAATCAGAAATATTCAAATAGTAAATTAAAACATGACAGCGTGGTAGCATCGAAAATTTAGTTCTAAAACAAGCAAAACACAGTAACACATATGGCAACCCTAAATAGGTGAATGAAGGAATTTTGAAGAAATAGAAAGAAGTCACTAATTTATGCGAGACAGCGTCTTTATTTTGAGATTCAATTGCTTAACTATTTGTGATAGTTTCGAAATAATACGCGGTGCCCTTGTACAACAAAACTAAGTTGGTGTACAGGGTCCAAATTTTAAAATTATATATTGTAACCAAGTGATCGTAGGTAAGCATCATTTCTATTGCAACTAGTGACGTAGGTAAACGATATAAAGTGCACTATTAAAATTGTGAAGGTTTGTAAAAAAAAATATTCAAAATACTTGTTTAAAGCCGTATTTATACTAAAAAGGTGAAAAGTGTTGTAAATAAGATAAAATTCAATAGTTAAATTGTGTTTTACAGTGTAATTAAACTCCAAAATGGGTGATCAACAATTTTTCCTGAAATGGAATGACTTCCAAACAAATATGGTGACATCTTTTAGGCATTTGAGAGATGAGAAAAGCTTTACAGATGTGAGTATTGTGATATTTTTGTATATTTGTGTACAAACAAACTATTATAACCTTAAACTGTAAGAGCTTAGATTCCAGTGCAACAATACTAAACCTCAAGGATACCCACTGACCAATAAATTCACATATCATGGTACTGTTATGTTAGATATTAATTTTGAATTTGGAATGTTGTCAACAATAATAGTAAAACCTTAGTGCTCTATAAATGGACAGTACCAATTTCTCAAAAAAATATAACAATAAGTACAGAGCACTTTTAATTCAATGCCCATTCCAAACAATTAATTCCATCTAAGTATACTTTGACCTCTTATATACTTAAAAAAGACAGTGTATAGAAAATAGACAATGAAAGTATAATATCTTTAACTTTTTTATTTAGTAGGTACTTAAATTCCTAGACACTAAATAGTTAGAATACTCCTTGGAATGTTTGTTGCCTCCTTCCAAATTGCTACAGTCAACTGTGTTTACTAATACATACTACACATAGCCAGTTCCTGGAGCCTAGAAGTTAAAGAATGCCTTATACATTGATTCCTGATTAACTATTTTATGTTACTTAATCTCATTTTTGTACAACATATAACCTCATGATCATCATCATCATCATCTTCCTGCCCTTGTCCCGTTTTATTTGGGGTCGGCGCAATATGTTTTTTTCTTCCATTCTGTCCTGTCACTCGTCACGCTATCGCTAACTCCTCTGTCTTCCATATCACTTCTCACACAATCCATCCATATTTTCTTTGGTCTCCCCCTGCCTCTCCATCCATCCACATTTATATGGAACATATAACCTCATGATGTCAATCCCATATTTAGGCAACCTGGATTTTTTTAAACAGAAAGTTTCAAATGTCTTCCCTCCAACAACCTTATAACTAATTTTTAATGGGCTAGTGCTTGGCCACTTTATGACCTTATGGTAAGCAATAATGTGGCCGAAAATGTACCATGCAGTATAACATAGTCATATAACGGAAAAGTTATGGTGTTTGAACATGTACAGAACTCTTTCAGGAAAATAAAATGTTGATTTGTTATGTTTATACATAAAACTTTAATTAGTATTATATAAAACGGTATTCTCTTCCAGGTAACGTTAGCGTGTGAAGGTCAGACCTGCAAGGCACATAAAATGGTCCTGTCAGCGTGTAGTCCGTACTTCAAAAGCTTATTAGAGGTGAGCTAGTATGAGGTAGTGGTATCAGTAATCCTACTTATTCTACTAATATAATATATTTGAGGTATTTTAGAGTGTAATACATACTACAGTATCTACATACCTATCAATGTTGGTACTCTTTCATATAAAAACTACTGAATTTATAGTATACAGATTGCAGATGATAAATAGACGAGTTTGGGGGCAGGGTATCCCCAATTCCTTAATCCTCCAATCTGAAATCCCTCAACGCATTTGCTGCTCCTATAAAGTTGTGCATATCCATAACATTAGGCAACCCGTCTGCTTGTTTTTAGCAGTACTATAAAAGAACAGAAATACTAAAAACAAAAAATTCACAGTAAACGCTTAACCAAAGAATCCATGGACCAATTCGTTTTAATAGTGTTTGTTGTTGCCAGCTAAATATTTTTATGAGAGAAATTTATTGAAAAATACAGGAAAAAATTGGTAAATTGCAACTGAAATAATAGTTTTGGAAAACAGTGTGTGAAGAAAGAGGGGATTTTTCATATTCACCTGTATCTTAAATGCAATTCACTACATTTAATAAAACAGGAATTCCAGGCATAAAATCTTATTGATTGTTCTATTCAATATCAGTTATGACCTTTGACTCATTAAAGAAGATTACTCTTGGAATTATTTATACTAAAAGTAACAATATACATAACACAAACTCACTACAGATATTTACTTCAATTAGAAAGCCTATGGTCTATTGCTTTGGGTAATTAACTGAATGTAAACAATCAGGTCTTTTTATCTAAAATTGTATTTAAAAATGTTTACAATAAGGTATATATTTACCTAAATTGATGTTGGCTAATAAACTAAATTTAAATTTATGTATGTATTTTATACCTGTTTAATATAAAAAGATATATGAAGATTGTTTCCCTTAATTATCCACCTTAACCAATAGACTATAGGAAGTATACATCTACATATATTTATTATATACATATTACAATCACTATATTCCAAAAAAATATTTGCTTAGAAATTACTTTGATTCAGTTTCGCTGCAGAAGTGCTTTAATTTTTTTCGTTTGCTTTATTCAGTGCAATGTAACAATTTAGGAATAGGAAACATGGACATGTATAAACACAAACATTAACAATATTAGGTTCGTATTGTTTTGCAAGTACGTCCCTGTAAAAGCTCTCAATGGTCCCGATGGGTTGATGGTTGACTTTGTGTGGTATTGTATGGTGTATGTGTGAACTAGTTGCTGACTTGACTATAGGAAGTATACATCTATATTTATTACATATTACTATCACTATAATCTAGGTTTTTAATATAATTGTGATGTATATGTATATGTGAAATTACTTTTATAAACGAACTGATGACAAAGGGAAATAATTCTGTCGTACAAACATATATCAATATATGTAGGTATTTACATCATAAACCTAATTAAATCATACACTCAGGTCAGTCATGATAATAAATTGTCTAATGTAGGTATTTAATGTAATTTGTAGGTAATTAACACGCTACGGATACGAAAAGTAAACATAGACAATAATAGACATTTAGACATAGGCAGGATGTTTTAGTAAATTAGCAAGGAACATGACACCTCCGGCTGAATGCGCGACAATACGATACGACCTGTGTTGGATGTAAGTTTATCTGTATGCTAAAATCTATTTCACATAATCATATGAAAGATGGAAAGTAAGTAACGCTTAGCTGCGAGAAATGCGAATAAAATAAGGTGTTACAATTATAATTTTAGAACAGCACATTTTACCATTATAATTTGTTCCAAAATGATATAAAACTAATTTTAATGTACACATGCAGTTACTTCAATACTAAGCCTAAGACAAAAAACAAACATCATCATCCTATAAGTGCCCACTGCTGAGCAAACAAAGGCCTCTTCGCACAAAGAGAAGTTTTTTTCCACTACGACAAGTCCATATTGACGAAAATTGTGAAATTTTACCGTTTCTGCTCCCCCAAGGGGGGGAATAGGTTGCTTATGAGTAGGCGTGCTCCATCGTTGGTCTCATCATCGTTTACCATAAGGCGTGATAGCGGCCAAAAGTCAGCGCATTACTAATAAAACTTTAGGCATGCCTATCTATAATATAAAAACGAATAGAAAAATGTGTTGATAAACACATAACTCGAAAACGCCAAGATCAATTTTGCCAAATCTTATTTTGTTGTGTTCGTCATTGTCAGGGGAACAAAAGAAGGTTTTTATCTTACTTATATTATAAATGCGAAAGTTAAAATGTTTGGATGTTTGTTACTCAATCACGCCAAAACGGCTGGACAGAACTGGATGAAATTTGGTACAAGCAAAGGATACTACTATTGTCAGTATACTAAGCATGCGAAGCCGCGGGCGGAAGCTAGTGAAAGATAATTTCAGAAAAGTAGAGAGGATAATCAGGAAATCACAACTGAAGCGAAGCAGGGACGCGTCGATATTTACTAATAAAAAAATCTATAAGTATTCTAGACATGTCTAAATCAATATTTTAACACATTGTAATGTTTGCAGGAGAATCCGTCAAAGCATCCGATTATAATCCTGAAGGATGTATCGTACCTCCACCTGCAAGCTATACTGGAGTTCATGTACGCTGGGGAAGTCAATGTGTCCCAAGAACAGCTGCCCGCCTTCCTCAAGACAGCCGCTCGGCTTAAGGTGAGATTTAACATTTCCTTCTAGAGTTCCAAAGGGTAAAACTGGATACCCTATAACTAAGACTTTGCTGTCTGTCTGTCTGTCTGTTATCAGGTTTTATATTATTGGTGATAGCTAGACAGTTCAAACTTGGACACATTATGTATTCTTGTTACCTCTATGACAGCATGTACTAAAAGCAAAATAAAATAAATATTCAAAAAATTTAACAACAAGTTATGAATCACAAAGAATCGTTCGGTGAATCTAAGCACAACAATCAATCGCTCAATGATAATATGCGATAATAAATAAAACCACACTGTTAAAGACAATGTTAAAATGAACATTGAAAAGATGACAAATAGTTATATGCAGTTTTTATTTATTTTATTACAATTGTCGTGGTTGCCCGGAGGTTAAGGAGCCCGCTTCTCATGCTAGAGGGTGTGGGTTCGAAACCTAGCAAGTACCAATGTGACTTTTTCCAAGTAATATGTACTTTCTATGTTTATTTAGACACCACAGACATATGGTGAAGGTAAATATCGTAAGGAAACCTGAACTTATAATTTCTAATTATAAGTTTGAAATCGCCAACCCGCATTGAGCAAGCGTGGTGATTAATGCTCTAACCTTCTCCCTATGAGAAAAGGCCTTTGCTCAGCAGTGGGCACTTATAGGCTGATGATGATGAATTATTTATTTCTTACAAAAAACGCGATATGCACACCCAAAATTTCTACTATTATAGCACCTTAAATTATTGTAGGTGTATAGTATACTTAAATTTCACTGTCAATATTAGAAGAATAATTTACAGATCACGCAATGAAATATTTCCAAATTACTTTTGAGCTTCATAATTCATATTACACCAAGCAATGTGGTTGGTAAACCCATCTTCGCAGAGTAAGCACCTAATTGCTTGGGTTTTTCTGGTTTTCAAGAGCACCTTAGTTGAACCTCTTAAATAGTTACTGTTGCTACTAAAAACATATATATAATTGACCTTGGCATTTTTTCTTGAGACTATTTGTGAACTCAGTTGACGCGGTGGCTGGGCAATTGTCAGCCGTGCAACCTGTCGCACGTTAGATTGCCGCAAGGAACAACTCTTTGTGTGATCCAAAAATTGGTATTCCGAGTCTGGGTGTGAAATTGTACAGTACGGCCGCCGTATCTTGGAGAGTCGGAAGTTAGCCGTTTGTCTGCACAATGGATCTTTTAGAAACAAAATTGTGTACTGCGCAGCTAATCGACTAACTTCAGACTCGCCAAGATACGTCGGCGGTATTTTATGTTTGTAAACGCAACCATAACACGGGAGAAAATCCTAGTGTGGACAATTATATGATAAAAATAAACAAAAAATAAATATATGAGCTTTAGAGATAGTTTCACTGTATACTTTATTTGCATTAAATTCAACATACCCTGAGCGAACGCCGGCTTTCGCGCACCTGTTGTCTTACTATTTAATCTCGAATTACAACGATTGGAAGGTCAAAATGATTAATTTATGACGTTTTAAGTTTGACGCTATTACTCGAAGTGTCTTGATTTTTTATTGCTTTTACTTATTAAAACAAAATCTCTAGTCTTCCTTCTATTTTTTTCTAATAATAAGCAATACAATTTCATTTTTGGAAGCAGACTATAGCTCTATTGATTTTATGATTAAACTATAATAAATTGTTTTAAATTTATCAAAATCTAATTTAATATAGATTTAAATTCTTAAAACAATATTTTTTTCATTTTAGAAGAAGGATTGATAATCAACGTCCAGACGACAGCTAGAATAATATTTTAAAATATGTATTTTTTTTTTCAGGTGAAAGGCTTAGCCGAGCCCCCACCACAGATGCCAAGCATCAAACGGGAAGGCTAGCCTTAGTGCAAGCAAGTGTAAAGACTATAGTGACCTATGTATCACCTACACACACATAACATTACTCACACACACACACACACACACATTTCACACACGTTAGTTATTCACTCACATATTTGTTTATGATGGACACGGAAATGCTACAGGGTGTGACAAAATTGAATGCTTGCTTTGTGGTTTCTAGTTTAGTGTAAAATATTTCATAATTATTTTTTTTGGCAATTGAATAGAATATGTTCATTTTTCGTACATGTTTTTAAGGTTCTGAGTCGTTTCGATTTTGTTTTAAAAGAGAACTAATATATTTTTTTCTTACATTGCCTAGATAATATGTTACTTACAGTGTCATTTAAGCTTAAACTTGTAACTACAACGTCTAGCGATTTGGTTACACCTGTATAATTCACTGAGTAAGTAAGATTTTATAACTTCTATAATTATGTACATGTGAGTGACAGAGATGGAGTATAGCGCCTTCTCGTTCCCTCAACAGACTGAAAACATGTTAATATTGACCATAATATTGACGGAACAAAGTTGTTTTTTTTTCGCAATAGATAAACCTTGCTTGCTCAGTGTTGTAGTATTTTCAGTTTCATCTTAAAAGTGCCTGTTAATGTATTTATTACAATTATTCTGGAACTTTTCAATTTGTCAAAAAACAGGTATACCATTATAGGAATACCATTTGTTTATTTTAAATTATTACCAAACCTCTACCATTGTGTCGAAATATTTATTTCTACCCTAGTTAAAAGTCATAAGTTTTGGGTTGCCGGACTACAAAATCTTGCCAATATTAGTAGAAAATCTTTTCAAATATATTCCACATTTTAGAGTTGTGCCTTAACTAATATATTAGTGGTTTTGTGCCTACAAATATTAAAAAAAAAATATGTGAGTGAATACTAACTAAAGAATTTTAATTCAAGTTTAGTAACAAAGTGAAAGAATCCCATACACAACACTAACTCTCAACCAGTGTTGTCAATGACAAAGAAATATAATAGATATTATATATATTTACTTAGATAATTATAATACAGATAATAATAAAGAAAAACTTCAATAATTTTTAAACATTGCATAGCCAAACTTGGCCAATGTTTGCCCAAACATTCGACTCATAAAATAGGTTTATCATAGTAATAATAAGAATGTTGGCCAAACCATTGGCGTTGGCTAACCAATGTTGAAGATTGTCTCCCGCCAAATAAAATTCCTTTTTCAAATAATTTGACAGCACTGGCCCTGATAACGACTCATTCAGCCTCATTTCTTTTTTTTTTACAAAAGAGTTTTGCACCGCTTTTTATATCACATTGAATCTGGTGTTGACCAGGATCTCATCTGATTTGGGTGTTTTTTTTATTTGTTTATGTATAAGTACGTAAGAAATCCAATTGTTTAGTGTTCGCAGAATGTGTTTCATTATATGTATATTGAATATATTTTGTGCTTTAGCAATTCGTGTATGGAAGAGACTATAGCTCTATTGACAACTAAAATTCAACCTTGTTTTCTTTAACTAAGGTTGTTATTGCTTCGAATGCGACTTGCGAAAGCACTGCAATAGTGATTATTTCCCCTTTTGCATTGGTATGGTAGCGTCCGATCACTTCTTGGTAATGTTCCCGTCTTTTTCCGTAAGTTACCTAACGACCAAAGTAATTTAGTATTTAATAACACCACACCCCTTATTCAACGTCCAACGGGGGAGGAAATGTGCTTAGAAAAAGAAAGAGTGTGTTAGAGTGAGATGGAAAACTTAAAAGAAAATTTTTAAACCTTTTCATTAGCTTCTAGACACTTGAAACTAAAATGGTGGTATAGGATGTTTGAAAAAGAAATTCTGTATAATTAATAGTTGTGTTTCGTGCTTAATCATTAAGATAATTCCCTTAATTCAAGTCCCATTATAAACTTAGATGCTTAATATATAAAGTTTATACAATATTAAACCTTAATTCCACTATACTTGAGCACATTTCCCCTCTTATCCGTTAGATGATCACAAACTAAGAGTTAGTACGCTCTCATATCAATGTCTTAGACTATCCACTACCAATGGTTGCCTTACAGATGATTAGTAAATACAATACAGTGCGAATGTCGACTCCCGACCATTTACAACTTAAACCGAAACCTTTCGAGCACGGAAATGGTACTAAGACTGTTTTTCCATTTCGGGTCGACATTCCGCTCTATGTATGAGTACTACAATGCTTTTAGATATATTAGATGTATGTTGATTTTTCATGTATAAAATACACAGTAAATAAAACGAATAAAAACTCTTTACGTCAAACCATAGAGGAATGTATTGTCTATGAATTCTACTTTATAGTTGTCATGTAATTACAAATGTATATAACGATTCGAATTTGGAATCTATACAGGTTGACAGATAAAAAACAGTGTTGCCAGAGCTTACATTACATTTTTGTTCTAGGAATGAAGTATTTTACCCCTTCTAAAGTTTGACGTAATTTGTAAAATATGACTAAAAATATGTCCTAATGTTTAAAAGATTTCCAATTTACTTTCCAAGCTTTTTGTACCTCTAATTTAATCCTTACTTTTAATGTATGAATGTTTTTTTTAAGAATTGAATCTTACAAAAATATTTACTGACAACTCAAATAATAATTTGATTCACCGTTTCATTAAAGATATATATTTATATATGTATTTTCATGAAAATATATTATTTACAACTTGACACATTGTATAATAGACGACATATTGTCTAAGATTCAATTGATGTTAGTGCAGAGACGAAATGCGTCGAATAGCAAATTCAGACTTATCCACAACAAAATAAAACATATTTTCCTTTTAAGATTAAATTTCACTGATTTTAGATCAAGCTCGTCTGTGCTTTATTTCGTGTAAATAAGGTTCAATTTGCTGTATGACATATTTATCCTTCGATGCGTTTCGATTCTAAACTACTATTTTTCAATTTATTATCTTGTGTTGATTTGTAAATACTTTATGCCCAATTTTCCGCAATGACTTAAAATGAAATAGGTGCAATTTTTTCTTTGACGACATGTTTAGAAATATTGTTTTTAATGCATTTTTCGTACCTAAAGTAATAAGTATTTTTTTTCCCGTTTAGTATATTAATGCAATTACCAGATAATATTAGTCTTATGGCAGATTTTTCAATGGTTAGATAAAAGTTACCTGGGGAATAATTATGATGCTGTCGTGTCAGAATGTTTGTATAAGACAGTGACAGCAACAATTTTATACCTCACATAACATTTATCTGACTATTAAAAATCAGCCCTTAGAGTTAATTTGTTTTTGTTTAAATGAAATATTTCAAATCATTTTGATTTACGAATCAATGAAATAGATAAAAAGCCTTTGATTTTTATTTGAAATGATAGAATGAGCTAACTATATGATATATCAATATTTCGAAAACATGTTGTTTGGAAACTTAGTTTAAGTAATATTTTTCATTTTTTAACTTTCTTTTTTACTTATAATTTCAGCACACGTTTCCCCGTTTAGCACTTATATTTTCTTCCTCTATAAAATATTTTTATAGCTATGTGTGGACTATATTTTCAATTAGTTCAACAGTAAGCATTTCAAAGATGGCTGCCTAATATCTTTTTCCTTATCCCTCCTCCCCCACCACAGATAAATAATTCAATGTTAATAATTGTTAGAGAATGTTGTAAAAATGTAAATCTGATATTTTTAGACGACAAAGTAAATGTGCTGAATAATCACGTGGTAACTAGGTGTAATGATTGAAATTATGAAAGATTTGTAATTTTAGATAATACAGATTAATTAAAATATTTAAGTGTTTTATTTCTTTTTGACAGATTTCGAATAAATATTTATGTCAATGGTGTTGAGTGCATTAGCAGCTTATGATAAAAGACAAAATTATGAAAATCAAGTCTTTGTATTCAAAAGTTACAACCGGGTTCGATTCCTGCGCGTAACAACACTGTGTGATCCACAAATTGTTCTTACTGGTGTGGGTGCCATGTGTGTGTGAAATTGTATGTTTGTAAACGCACCCATGATCCAGGAGAAAATTCTAGTGTGGACTTTCATAAGCCCCAATGGTTCAACCAAAAATGAGATCGACTTTAACATGGCGACCGATAAGCGTATATTCAGTAATTTCTCTGGGATTGCTAAAGTAAAAACCTGCACGAGGTTAGGTTGGCTCTCAAACAGACGATGCTGATGTGATTCCGCACAACAGAACTTCTGCGAACAAGTGAAAACCCAATTGGTACTTTTATTCCTCAAAAAGTTATTAAAATCCTTCATACGGTTTAGTTCCTTCGAGATAGAACAACTCTGGCAAAGGAGAGTGGTAGTTCTTCAAAAACGGAGCTAACACTTGTAAAATAAAATGGATTATGTATAATGAAGGTCTGCAGTATACCTGATGATGGTAAAAGTAAACTAAAAAGCAAAAAATAAATTTACTTTGCTTGTAATAAATAAAAATATGTATTACTTTAAACAAAGTAAATTTATTTTTTGCTTTTTAGTTTACTTTTTGAAGTCGGTTTTTTTTGTTAAAAATTATTTTATTTAACCATTTTAAGTGACAGTCACAGAAAGCTAGGATGACGATGAAGACGACGGCTACTTAGTACTTGAGACCGAAAATCACGGTAATAGCAGTCCTGAGTAAGTCAGCTTTCAGTGCCGTAAATCGTTGAGGAATTCCCTCGAATGTCAATGACCTCCATCATCAGGTATACTGCAGACCTTCATTATACATAATCCATATAGATGCAAAGTTCTCATTAATATAAATGAATTAAGTGCAAACACATTATAATTAGTCCAAATAGTCAAGGAGATCCCACGACGCGACGGTCTTCCGGCTCCATCATTACAATTTAGTGCATAACTTCATTGTAATCCATAAAGGTGCAAAGTTTTCATCGATATAAATGAATTAAGTCCAAACACGAGGTAGTAACTGTGAACCGTTGAGGAGTTCCCTGAGCTGTCCTTCGTTCTCATCATCAGATCCTTAATGACAGTCACGACCAATCTTGGTGCAAAGTGCTCACCAACACGAATCATTCAAGGCAACTACTCCAAATAGTCAAGGAAATACCTCGACTGGTCATCATCAGGTCGAATTCGAACATCGGCAAGTTGTAGCGTTGTCAAAAGCCTACTAAAACCACATGCAAAAGCACCACTCGCCCCTACAATTATTGATAGTTCCCCTCGATTTCTCTGGTCTCCCATCATCAGATCCTGATTTCCTTATCATGGGACCATTCCGAGACTACATCCTTTCCAACAAAAAAAGAATTACCAAAATCGGTTCATAAATAACGGAGATATCGGCGAACAAACATAAAAAAAGCATATATACGGTCGAATTGAGAACCATCCTCCTTTTTGGAAGTCTGTTAAAAACTACCCACTTCTGTTTCATGTGTACAAGCTGTTCGAGGATCATCACGAACCGTCTCGAACGCGTTTGATGACTTCCAGCCTCCCGAAATCGGGGGATACGGTAAAGACCATAGAACTATAAACCATATTATGCGCTTCGCCAGATTATACAAATAACAGAGGAGAGTAATCAGCCATTACATCTAGCGTTTGTGGACTATGAGAAAGCCGATTCGGAAGTTCGATTCAACCGAAACCTGGGCAGTGCTGCAGTCTCTCCAGTGGTGCCATGTCGACTATAGATATATCGATGTGTATAGAAACGCCACCTTGCTCATCCGACTCCGGGAAGACCGTACAAAAGTAGGTAAGCTTATTGCAGAAAGGCGTTAGGCAGGGAGACGAATTTATCCGAAACTCCACAAACGCATTGGAGGACGTTTTAAAGCTCTTGAATTGGAGCGGACTTCGCATCAATATTAATGGCGAATAAGTACATAACATACCAGAGCTTCGCCGACGATATATTCGTTATCCACGTTTAGCGAAAGCGGTACGCGTTCCGCGCGCGCCTCAAAGAACCAATAGACTACAGACGTGGCCCTATAGGGCTGATGTTCAGCCGGGGTGGCGGGGTAAGCGCAATGAGGCACCGCGACCTCGGCCCAGAGCAGAAAAAGGAACGGGGGTTTTTTAATCAGTAAGAGTCTGACACTCCCTCTCACCCAACCCTGGGCGGGAGAAATCATTTAATGATTTTCTTCTCACAAAAAAGGCCGGTCATCGTTGGGAACGACATCCTTGTAGTTGTACATCACAACACATACTTATTATATTTGGCCAGATCATTCACCTAGGTTAGTCCAACTTCGAGAAAGAGGTCGCGTGAAGAATTCAACTCGGGTGAGCGGCGTTCGAATCGAAAAGTGTAGGAATGACCTAGGTAGAATTGGGACCCACTTACAAATTATCCTGATACAAAATGCAACGCCAGAAAATGTAAAATGAAACTTAATGAAGTAAAAATAAACGTTGATGAAGAGTTAAGGCTCCAATTTTAAAGGTAGGTGTTTTAGAAACGATAGGTCCTTGTTAGACGGAATTTAGAGCTGCCTTCTACATTTTAGCCAAAAGCTTAATGAGTTAAGAGTACAAAAAGGGCAATGAGGACACTTCACTTCAAATTAAGGTGACTCTCCTCTTTAAAGTGTAGCAATCAGCCTCATTTATTCACAACTGTTACAACAGAATAGTTGAGATACTGTAACAGCTTTATAAACGCTTTTTTCTTTTAAGGTTCAAATTCATATCAGTCAAAAGGGGAACTATATTAAGTTTTGTTGAGACCAAAAAAAACATCAAACTAATTTAATAAATATTTATTTTAATTTTTATACACACAACAAGTAATTTATCATTAAATGAAAATAATTACATAATAAAAATTAGCACCGAAAAATAAACAAAATATATTTTCTATATAAAGTAAATTTTAGCAAGTAAATAAGGAATGATAAATTCAGTTTTATGCCGTCTGGCAACACCATTTGGTTACATTTGGTTTAGGTAGCACCTTAAGCTAATTAATAATAAGAATTTATTAACAAAATAAAAATATATTTAATTTCTTTTTGTCATAACATTAATAGTCCAAAAATAAAATGCATCTTTATCGTTTATAAACATAAACTAACGGTATTTTTAAATCAAAAATACAATATGCAACCAATTAGATACGATTCTAAATTCAAAATTTAAAAACGCAATGCAAAACAATAAGTTGCACAAAAAATTTAACCGTGTCATACTTAGACAAAAAAAATAACGTAAAAAAATATAATTTCTTTTGTGAAATCACTGGTAAATGCTTTGGCATGTATTTGGTATTGCTTTGGTCCTAAATTAATTACATAAAAAAATACTAAATAAGGTAGAATATAAAAATAAATTATGGCAACACAATAGGAACAAATAACATTTTGGTATATTTTTTTAAATTATAATTTACTCGCGTTATAACTTCTGTAAGATGTATTTAATTAAATACAATGTTTAATGGTTTACTTAAATAACTGTTTGGCGATGAACTGGACTAGTTTCGAGCCAGGTTAGGGGCTCATATTCATGAGCAGTATCAAAAAATCGCTCGTCAAAACAGTAAATTTGAAACAAAATATGTTATTGTAATTATTCGATTAGTTTTTTTGTGGTATACATTTGAAGTTGGACTTCGGTTTGCGATAATGAACAGTTTAACTTATTCTTATTGATATTCAGGCAAAAAATAAAATATATATTGAATAAATAACGTCATTAAAATAATTGGTCCAATTACTTCCCACTCTAGAGAGAAAGCTATTACTAAATAGGTTCAGTACTATAGTAATATGAATATATTACACAAATTTTTGATTACCATTTTTGCACCCAGTAGATGGCGCTGTGGGCGACTTAAAGCCTGTCGGTACAGATACTATCACTTATAAATGAAAAATCATAATTGCAAAGTGTTCTAAAAGGTCCAGTTTTCACCATAAAGTTAAAAAAATACCATTCTAACCTGTAATTCGCTTACAATTGTTCGTTTATCGCAAACCAAAGCCAAAAACTTCTTAAAAACAATTCAAAGTCGTGAATCATAATTCTAAAATGGCTGCAGTTATCTTAAATAAATAAATATGGCGTTACAATACGGAATACGAATTCAAAGTGGGCTGACTTGGTAATATTGCTGACAACCAATTTTAGACTTTATCTCATGGAATTAAAAATGTTTATTCATATTATTATAAGCACTGTGAGTTACTGTCATAATAATGACAAATATATCACTATCTTCAATTGATTTTAAACTTTATAAATAAAATCATAAGGTTTCAAATCAATTCAAAAGATTATTAGTATTCCTTTTATCTTTAAATATCTCTTTAATTGATTTTTAACTTTATTTCCTAAACATTAAGTTTCAAATCAAATCACTATTTAACTGACTATTCCTTTTAAGTATTTGACGCAACTTACCAAAGCCAGCCCTCTAAAATTGTTTTAACTACGCTTGAATCCCTCAGGGTTATTGCTTTGCCACCTCCAAGTATCTGTACACATGTCCTCAAGTGTCCTCGTCGCCCTCCAGCCGAGGAGGCGGTGTGAGAGGGAAACGTCTGCATAGTTAGCCGCTATGTCGCCAGCCCTCCGGCCCACGATGCGGTAGGGGATGTCACGCCCACTGGCAGTCTTGAATGCTTCTATCATTTGGAGAACTGAGTAGCCTGTGCCCGTGCCTGGAGAAGAAAGAATGATATTAGTGGTGTACAGTTCAGGCTGTATTCTGCCTATGTTAGGCGTGCAAATATTTTTATAAATTTGAAAATAAATTCTATTAAAACAAAACCAACATATTATTTTATTATAAAATACTATTTATCACAAAAATAATAATATGTTTTAAATTGTTAAATTTAAATGTATTAAAATTAGATGATGAAAATATTGTAGGCGTGGGGTTTGAAATTTCAAACAACCCCTCACGTAATTTATGAACGCCCCTAAACCGTAGATATGAAAGAAAAGAGAAGAAAGAAAACGTCCTCCCGCTTACCAAGATTAACAGCATGGAAGCCACTGAACCCTGGTTGCTGGAACAACCTTACAGCCTTCACGTGGCCTTCAGCCAAGTCTTCTACGTGAATGTAGTCCCGCACCCCAGTGCCATCTACCGTCGGGTAGTCGTTACCAAACACCATTAGCTCGGGGAGACGGCCTACAGCCACCTGAACGAACAATTTATTATAACTTTCGTGAGACAGGTAACATGACTTGAAACTAGTCTAGTTTCTCGCCAAAACAATTACGTGAGTAATCCGAAAACATCATAATTAATTTATATACATATTCCTTATTTCACACATCACTAAAAACTTAACACAAAGAGCAGACTTACAAATACAGGGTCACATTCATGGTTCACATTACAATGGGAGGTCTTATCACACAGGGTGATTTCTTCCAGACAACCTTTCGATGGATGTTTAAAAGAAAACCGAGAATGGACAGTCTAGTGCACAATAAATTGGTAATAAATACTCATAAAATTAAATATAAAATACATATACATAATTACATATATACATACATACATATCTATACATGTACCCAGCAAGATAATAGATTCTGAATTATTATATGTATACCAGCTTTTGTCCGCGTGAAAATAGTGACATCCTGCAGATTTTGGTATAAAAACTATCCTATGTCCTTTCTCGAGTTCCAAACTATGTCTGTACCAAATTTCACACAAATCGGTTTAGTAGTTTAGGCGTGAAGAAAAGACAGACAGGTACAAGATTTTGCACTCGTAACTCCTCCGTTGTAAGCCTTCTCACTGTGTCCAGGAGCTGGATAGGGACCAAGAAATGAACAAATTGAAAAGCAGTATTAGTTTTTAAACTAGTAATTACCTGTGCTATGTAAGGCATAAGGTTGTTGGGTATACCGGCGGGGTCCTCACCAATGCGACCGCTGCGGTGTGCCCCCACGGGGTTGAAGTAACGCAACGATATTATCTTCCATCTCTGTTAACAAAATATCAGCTTATTACTCACAGAAAACCGGCGTGAAACAATCACAACCCATCCTCACCCCCATCTCTCCTTAATCCCAAAAACCCTTATCTCCAATAAACGGTAATGCACTCATTTTATGTGATAGAACGGTAAACGAGCAGACGGATTACCTAATGGTAAGCAATCAGCACCGCCCATGGACACCCGCAACAACCGACCGCTTACGAGTACGTTGCCGCTTTTTGGAGATTAGGGGTTTGGAGATTTGGGGATTGGGGGGGGGAGGGGAACTGTTTCGCCAACATGTAGGTATTCTAAATTTCACTAACCTGATCACTAGTGCATAAATCCTTCATGATTTCTTCACAGAAGTACTTGGACTTGCCGTAGGGGCTGGTGAGTCCGCGGCCTGTTTCGTGACCCTCGTCGATGGGAAGTCGCTCGGGCTCCCCATACACAGTGCAAGACGAGCTGTACACTAGTTTGAAAACGAAATAACTGCGCATTACCTGTGGATTAAATAGATATTATGTTGGTATTAACTTTTCAATTGTGGCGATAGGTGCGCCAACGCCGGCGTTCGCTTGGGGTTTAATGAATTAAATATCGGAGGTTAAATCAAGTACCAATATTGCTTTTTCCGAGTTGCGTGTACTTTCTATTATCTATTTAGACATCATTGACATACGGATCAACAAACAAACAATTTCACATACACATGACACCCAGACCCGAAACATTGTGGATCATGCAGAGTTGTACCGTGCGGGAATCGAACCCGCAACACAATGGGCGGCATCCAGTTGCACAGCCACCCCGCCAACCGTCCAGTAAAAATTTGAAATTGCCTTGAGCAAGCGTGTGATTAATGCTCAAACCTTCTCCGTGTGAGAAGAGGCCTTAGCTCAGCAGTGGGCACTTAAAGGATGATGATGTGAAATGAAGACCACTCGGGTGCGGGTACAAGCCGCGGCTCAGCTTGGACCGCGAAAAGTGAAAATATAATCAGGATGTTTTCAACAATCTCGGATATCAAAGAATCTAGCTAGCTTCCGTCCGCGGCTTCACCTACGTGGTATGATAATAAAAAGTAGCCTATGTCCTATTCTGGAGTGTATTCTATCCTATGCCTGTACCAAATTTAATCCAGATCCGTCATGCCGTTTTGGCGTGATTGAGTAACAAACATCGTAACTTTCGCATTTATAATATTAGTAAGAAGTAAGATATTATCTTGTAAAAGTATCTTGAATAAATACTTATAGTAATTTAGGTTATCATTGACGTTAAGTATGAAATCCATATTATCTAAGTACAATAACAATTAAATTCATTTCTATTATCAATCACTCAGAAAGTAACTACCTGTTACTAAGTATATAAAAACTTGTAGGTATTTTCAATTAAATTGAAATGTAATTCACGATTTTCCCTTATATCATAAGTAAGATACCTACAATTTCGCCAGCTATACATATATAGCAGTTTGTACAAAGATCGCATAAAATGAAAGCATACATAGGGATATAGGGACAAAAAAGCGACATTGTTATATACTATGTAGTGATTTAAAGGCACTCTCTCCTCCTTTACACGAATTGTATGTGGATTACAAGACCTTAAAATCACCATACCACAATTCCATACATTCAACACAAAAGACCATACATTCAACCATAAAACAATATTTATTTTGTACCTACATCTATACTTACTAATATTATAAAGAGGTTAATTTGTAAGTTTGTATGATTTGAAATCAGGATATATCTATACCAATATTATAAAGAAGTAAAATTTGTAAGTTTGTAGGTAGGGAGCAATCTTTGGAACAGCTGGTCAGGTTTCCAAAATACTTTCACTAAGAGATAGCTACAATGCTTCTGGGGTGCTATAGGCTTATAATTGTTTTGCGTATTTTATTCGAGCTATCGCTTTAAACGCTGCTGTATTTGAAATCAGGATATATCTATACCAATATTATAAAGAGGTAAAATTTGTAACTTTGTATGTAGGGGGTAATCTTTGGAACCGCTGGTCAGGTTTCCAAAATACTTTCACTGATAGATAGCTACAATGCTTCTGGGGTGCAATAGGCTATAAATTATAATTGTTTTGCGTATTTTAGTCCAACTATCGCTTTAAACGCTGGTTTCTTTAAAATCCGGGGATACATCATTTTTATAGCGGAAGCTAGTTTACTATAAGGAAATACCAATGAATAATGCTTATGACCTTACCTCTAGTAGTGTGCATGTTCCAGTTATGTTAGCCAGGTAGTACTCCAATGGTTTCTGTACAGACTCCCCGACAGCCTTCAGCGCAGCGAAGTGTATCACGCATTGTATGTTATGCTGGGAACAATAAATATTGGCATTAGTTACAACGAAACAAAAGAAAAATAAAAAGCAATTCAGAAAAAAGAAAAGGGTTTAAATGTGGCATATTTATCGAAGAAAAACAGCTGAAAATATTACTTAAGGCTGATTTTTCAATGGTTAGATAAAAGTTAGCTACGGAATAATTATGATGCTGTCGCGTCAGAACGTTTGTATAAGACAGTGACAGCAACAATTTTATTCCTCACATAACATTTATCTGACTATTGAAAACCAGTCCTTAGTGTAAGAAATCAATTTTTCGGTCTTTTTTTCAAACCACATTCGAATTGGTTCTACTGCTAAGATAGTAGAAAAAGTGTTTAGAGAAAAACCAATATGATTTGGAAATAGAAAAAATTGGGAAAAGTCGGTTATGGAAGATAGTTTGACGTAAAAACGTCAAACATTACAGTAGTTTAGTACTAGGCTGATCGAGGGGAAGGGAGATAGATGGAACACGAACCGAATTGGGCCAATCACTCAAGCCGATCTTGTCTCTCTCTGTCTGTCTCTCTCTCTCTCTCTCTCTCTCTCTCTCGTTCGTACCGCGCTCTCGCTTGCGGAACGCTACTATGAACCTTAACGGGACAGCGACGTCATCATTTTTGGGTATCGTAGTATAGTTATTAGACGTTGTCACGTCAAAAATAAAGACAGTTAAAAAGCATTAATGCCTGTAGCACACCTCCGCTGCGAAACCGCTGCGTGAGTTTTGCTGTGTACTTCACTTACGCGAAACGTATAAGTTTTTCAGTAAATTCCAAATCCATTGTTCCTATTTCGATCATAAAAATTGTCGATTGCTAATTTGCTACAGATGCGTCCGAGATACACGCGAAACCGCTCCAAAATGGCGGACAACGGGCGGAGATGTAGAAGGCGCGTAAGCAAATGAGCGAAATCATGTTAGAAAGAGACAACATCATAGTCAGTTTTGTACGTTACAGCAAGGAATTTCGCTAATGTTTCGCCGCTCAACAACTCACAACATACAGCGAAACTGCCGGTTTCGCCCATTGAGTTGACGTGTAAAAGTGCCGTTTTATGGCCTATTTGCAAAAATAAATTCATTGTTTCATTGAGTTTCGCAGCGGAGGTGTACTACAGGCATAAGTAATCTTAAAAAACTCACCTTTTCAAAAATCTTACTCAATCCCTGTTTATCGCTAAGATCTAATTCGTAAAAAGTAATCCTCTTATTGGTCAACTCCTCGATAATTCTGATCGCTTCTGGTTTCTTTTGACCTTCCGCCCTGTACGCATTGGTGAGGTTGTCTACAACTACTATTTCAAAATCCGGATCTGTCTCTTTTTCCAGGATCGAGGCTACCGTGTGGGAGCCAACGTACCCAGCACCTCCCGTCACCAAAATCGCTGAGGCCATCGTACCTCTGAAAAAAAGGAGATAGAAGGCGTTAGAAAGACGAGCCGAAAGACTGATACTTTTTATATATAAGCTTTGTTTGACGTTAAAAAGTGCCTTTAAGGGTCTTACTGACGAGAGATGATCTTCGGCCACGGTAAGCGCGGTTCTGCAGACGGCGAGTAACGGTAGCTCGCCGCCCGACCATAACCAAACCCGAGCGTACGGCGCGTAGCGTTCCGCGCGCCTCAAAAAGCCAATAGACCACTACAGACGGGGCCCTATAGGGCTGATGTTTAGCCGGGGTTGCAGGTTAAACGCAATGAGTCACCGCGGCCTCGGCCCAGAGCAGGAGAAAGAACGGGGGATTTTTATTCAGTAAGAGTCTGACACTCTCTCTTGCCTTAGTCTGGGTGGGAGAAGTCATTTGATGACTTTCACCTGACAAAAAAAGGGTCTAATAGAAATTAATTGCCAAGCTTCGGCACAAATAGGTTGAATATACGGGAGTAATACCACAGCGTCCCAGAAAACCAGCGTGAAACAACCACAGCGTATTGTTTCGCCGTTTGAAGGGGTTACCGGAGGGCCAATCTTTTACCTGCCCTGCTTTCACATCCCTCGTGAATCCCTAAATATCCGGAATGTGATTGTTTACCAACAGGTAATCTGGAAGCTCCTTGGCCGTTAAATAACATAAAAACCATGATAATGACTTATTTATGAATTTTTATGATCGCTGTGAGTATTGATCGCCTAAGAAGTCAAATAATGGTTAACTCCCTCTGTATCAAGTTGATCTTTATTTTTGTATCTGCAAACCATATATATATATATATGATATTCATGTATTTTAATGATAAAGGTAAATAATTATGTTTATTTATTAGTATAAACATAATATAAGGAGACAATTATTATGTATTGTGTAGTTCTTGTTTTGTTTTGAAAGAACAATTATGTTTTCGTGTCATTAGTAGGTATAATTGTAAGAACACATAATGCAAGATGCTTACAACAATATGTGTTTATATTTGTATTATTTATTGTGGACTTAGTAATCCTAAGACCTTTTATAAATATAACTAAGGTTGCGTTTCCATGGAAACAGTCTTTGTAGAATTAACGACTGGACAGATTTGGATGAAATTTGGCATAGGATACACTCCGAAATAAGACATAGGCTACTTTTTATCAACATATTATACGAATGAAGCCGCGGGCGGAAGCCAGTAATTACTTAAGGTGCGCGTGCGCATGGTTATTAGAAGCTAAAGTTTATCGTAAGGATTCTTTCCTTTCACGTGACCATAGGGTCCCGGACCTTTGGAAGGCGTACGAGGATCCGAAGCCAACTCGCAGAGGCCCATTGAACAATCTTAACCTAAATGTGATGGGAAATCAGCCGGCAATTATCCCTGTATGCGCTATAAAAGTGCACCCAAGGACAATCTTCGGTTGATGCAGGACTATTGTGCAAAATGGTAAAAGATTATATGGTTATGGGTGTGGGTGGCTATGGACTGGTAGATGATAACTAGAAACTGGAAATACTATGTCCCCTGTCCCTGACCAATATTGTTACATACGGATAAACAGGCAGGGGGTGACTGGCAAACTCAATTAATGCCCCCCCCCCTCCCGAAACGGCCGCTAGCGTGTAGCGACACGGAGGTAACATACGTTGAGCTGCTTGTGGAATGACAGGCGTCCCACGGCTATCAGAGCCATCCCGGAAGTACGGTCAAGACCCATACCAGCATCTTACCGAGATACATCCTTCCTCCGAGTCTCCTTCAACTCCTACTCTTGCGAATCTTCACTCAAGGCAGACGTTTCAGGCAAGAATGAGGTAAGAAGGCTTGTTCCTCATCAGTGTTCACTCCAGCTAGTCACGAAGACTAACCGGAGATGAGGATCAAGACACCTCCCGAGAGTCAGGTCCGTGGGTGGTGACCGTGGGGTCGCCACAGCCCAACAGCTCGCCACAAACTGCCTTGCGGATTTTGTTAAGATTATTGTTAAATTTGAAAATGATGTAAGTATTGACGAAAGATCGGATCGCCTCTTCATAATCACGTACTTGTTTATAGGACACTAAGGCAAAGGTGCAAACTAGGGATATCAAATTTCGGATACGGATATAGGAATGATTACTATACTGGATACGGTTACGGAGACGGGTATGAAATTATTTCGGATTATCCGTTAGGTTACGGATATTAAAGTTTTAAGGAATTTCAAAATTAAAATACAAACATAACGTGTCTCAATTAGGCTCCGCCCCTATCCGACATTATGAAACTTTTATTTCGGATTTGGTTACGGTTACGGATATTTGTTTGTATCGGATATCCGATAGTTTCGGTTACGGTTACGGATCTCCCTAACATCCCTGATGCAAACAATTCTAGAATAATATATGGACTATTTATAGGTACTCAATATTTGTATGTCAAATTTATTTTATTCTACAAAATGAGCTTAGGTGGCACTTGGTAGGTACTTCAGGCACGGTTGCGGGGTAAGCACAATATGGTACCGCGACCTCGGCCTGGAGCAGGAGAAGTAACAAGGCGATTTTTAGCCAGTAAGAATCTGACACTCTTGTTCCGGCATTTCTTCTCAGAGTAGTCAGATAGGAAATGCCGGCATCATCTAGATTTTCATATATAATTGTGACGTGTAAAAATGCCGTTTTATGGCCTATTTGCAAAAATAAATTCTTTGATTATTGTCTCAGCGAGAATTCATCCCCCTCAAACTCAAACTCTCGTTACAACGTTCTATCCTTTCACGGCACCACAGGGTCCCGGACCTTTGGAAGGCGTACGAGGAGCCGAAGCCAACTCGCAGAGGCCCGTTGAACAGTTTTAATCTAAATGTTATGGGACATCAGCCGACAATTATCCCTGTATGCACTATATAAGTGCACCCAAGGACAATCCCCGGTTGATGCAAGACTATTGTGAAATGTGGTAAAAAGTGATAGGGTTATGAATATGGGTTGCTATGGACTGGTGGATATGATAACTATGGAAATACTATGGCCCCTGCCCCTGACCAATATTGATACATACGGATAAACAGGCAGGGGGTGACTGGCAAACTCAATTAATGGGCCCCCGGAAACGGCCGCTAGCATGTAGCGACACGGAGGCAACATACGTTGAGCTGCTTGGGGAAGGAGAGGCATCTCACGGCTATCAGAGCAATCCCGGAGTACTTATGTATATTATAAATTATTACAAATACATTGCTTTGGATCACAGTGGACATTGACGGGCACATCAAAATGGGATAGCGAATTTGTAGGTACTATAATGTAGCTAGATTAATTTATAAGTATATAGGTATTTTCTGTGTACGTAGCCACCACGCCACAGTGCACCTGTGATAATATTGTTCCGAGTATTATGTATTTGTTTCGCACTATATTCTTGTGGTAATTTACCTTACAGTAATTGTAGGAATAAGTTGAGGATAACTCCAAAACTAGTCTTACTCCAACGACCTAAAGTTGCAATTTGTATACAACTATTTGATACGCTGATTAAACGACATACGATCGTCAGTTTTTTTATACAGAAAGTTAGGTATACATGAGGTATTTTATGAGTATTATGTTTACAATTTGACACGAGCTTAGGTGAAAGACACGACTGACCGACAGATAGACATTTCAAGGAGCCAATAGACCACCGCTGATAGGGCCTTTTCCAGTGAAGACATTTAATAATCAACCACAAAAAAAAACAAAATCTTTACTTTTAAAAATCGTGGTATCAGTTTTTGCTTCAATACAATCCTTCCCCTCCCCCAATCCCTACCCTATTTCTAAATCTCCAAAACCCCTTATCCCTGTTGGCAAAATAAGTTACAGTAACTCCTCCTTTGTTGCGGTTGTTCATGGGCGGAACTGATTGCTTACCATCAGGTAATGTATCAGCTCGTTTGGCGCCCTACTTACCTTAACATTAAAATTTTCTCCTTTAACATCTTATATTTGAGTGATTTACAAAGATACAAAATATAACCTACCTACGTTTCGTCATGTAATATGCAATCATAAGAATCGTGTGCGTAGAACGGTCCGTTCGTGTGTCAATGAAAGGTCATCCGGGAAGTGCGTAGGTCACAGGTCAATATAATTTAGATAGGATTGAGTTTACTAAAGATAAGAAGCGTCATTGATAAAAGGTGGTAAATAGAATGTGTGAATATGTGGTTATTTAATCATGGTTTTTATAAAACTCTCGTTACAGAGTTCTGGCCGAGGAAGGAAGGCATAATTAATATAATTTAATAATAATTTGCACGCAAAATGCACTGACTTTCTGGTAATAAAATCTTATTTTTTTAGTAATCTATGTATTTCTTGCAAATAAATATTTTGATTGATGATTGAATAGTTTGATTTGAAATGATAATTTTAATAGTTCTTTTTTCTTTTAAAAATCAATTTGTAATATGTACTTTCATGAAGCCTAGCTTTATTAAACCAGAAAAGATAACGATTCGAGTTTAAAGAATAATTAATTGGCATATAAAGGTCTTTTAAAACTTTTCTAAATGTTCAATCAATAATAAATCGTTTATAATAAAAGGTTGTCTGGAAGAAATCACCGTGCGTGATAAGACCGCCCATTGTACACTCCGTGGTTGTAAGCCTGCTCTTTGTGTCATAATTTGTAATGTTGTGTACAATAAAGAATATATAAATAAATCCTTTTTCCCTGTTATGCTTAGATATAGATATAGATTAGGTACATCCGCATATTAATTAGCTACGATAGTAAAAATCCGGATGAAATAATGATAAATGGAACGTCCGTATAGATAGAGATACTGATTGTTTGAAAGTACGTCAGGAATAGGACACACCAGAATACCAATGAAAAATGTAAAATATTTGGATACACGATAAGTATATTATTATCTTCGAAGAATCTTGTACCTAAGTAATTGGAAAAACTTGTAGAAATGTACCAGATTGTTACCTATTTACAAGTACTAATTTGTCATAAT